CCTTAATTTGGGGAGGTTTGAGTTCAAGTTGAATCAATTGAGGGAGTGTCAGTTTGGGGTTGGATCTGAACCCGACCCAAAATTCATTTTGACACCCCCAAAAATCACTGCTTAATTTTCTTAGAAATTTTACCGAAATGAAAGACCGAAGTGCTCAACCCCTTAAATACATGGGCATGAATGTCATTCCATACTGCCACTTGGTTTCAGGGTATTCTTCTGGCAGAAAAAAATATATATTAATAATAATTTTGCATGTTTATCTTTGCCGTTTCTTCACAACGACATGTATATTTTCTTATTCAACAGCTACAATGGCTATTGATAAGTCACTCAAAGATTATATAGAATAAGAGCACTTGCTTTTCATGCATAGCTTGTTTAGAAAGATGCGACAGTGACTGGGCCAAAAATTTTAAGGGTAAACATGAACTGTTCGTCAGTATGTGTCTCAGTGATCACTGAAAAAAAAAAAGTAAAATTTATATAGAAGTTATGTTGTCATGCAATACATATTTTTTTCCGTGATTCTGGGCTGATCTCCTCATTTTCTTATTAGATTACAGATAAAAAAATTTGCTATGATTAATTATTTAAGCTGGCCATTAAATACATTGACATTAACTTGACTGATCAAGAGCGATTTTAGGGTTTGCGCCGCCTGAGTTCCACCTTTGCCTCCTCGTCTGGGAGGGCTTCTCCCTCCCGATGGCCGCCAATCCACTCCATTTTCCTCCACTTCGTACCTCCTCTGAGCTTGGCCCTCCTTCTGCGGGGCTATCCTATGCTGCAAACGTCTCAGCCTCTTCTTCCAAGCCGACTCTTTTCCCAGTGTCCTTCTTCTCCCCAGCCAAAAATCTCTCCTTCAAAGCAGATGATCTCTCGGAAGGGAAGTCCATCTGGACTTCGGCGCTCATTGGTTACTCACTAGGGCCTCGCCCGTACTATGAGCGGCTGCTCAAAGCGATGCTGAAACTTTGGCAGCTCAAAGGTTCTATGTCGCTCTTATCTCTAGCAGACGGTTTCTTCTTACTCAAATTCTCGACTGAGGAAGATTTGGAGATGGTTCTGTCTGGTGGACCGTGGTTCTTGCTTGGAAAACCGTTCATCCTGCAGCGATGGTCACCTAAATTCAAGCCCAAGCGTGACGAGGATGCTCCGATCCCGATCTGGATAAAAATTGTTGATTTTCCACTAGCCCTCTGGACCCCCACTGGTATCTCTAAAATTTCCAGTTACGTTGGTATACCGATTTCTGTTGATTCACTAACCGCAAATCGTACTAGATTAACGTTTGCTCGGGTTTGTGTTCTTATTTCTAAGGACTCGGTTTTGCCGGATGAAATTCCCATTGAAATTGAAGGAGATGATTAATATTGAAAGTTCTATACGATTGG